TTATCAGATAAAATGTAAAAAATATATATACCTGTAAACTAAACTGTATCACCCCTTCTTTAAACTCCTCTTGGGTTATGTCAGCTAAGGTTCTTGATTTTTTTTTTCCAAGGATCAGCTTCGGGGAAGGTCGTTTCTTTTTACTTAGCATTTCGGTGTGACCCCCCATTGCGGAGAATATACCCACCCCAAATAAGCCCCCACATCCCCTTAGATTGCAGGGCCGGCAGTTTAATTTTCCATTTGGTTGATATTTAATAGATCGAATAAAACTGTATTTAGCAAAAGACTGATCCCCTGGTGGGGATTTGTATTACCCCTTCCCCGAGTACCGGTTTAAGAGGCTTCTTGAAAAAATTCTGCGAAGTTAATATGGCAAAACTTGGGGAGGGTAGGGGAGGAGAGGGGGGCGTTGCAACCAAGAGCAGTGCCATCTGCTAAAATGCGCGTTATGTGGCGTTTGTTGTAGACGCAACGAAAAGGATTTTTTTCACAGGTAGACGGCTCCCCAAAAAGCCATACTGACTTAGACGCTAGGAAACCACGAAAAGTAAGCCCTTCGCGTATCGATCAATTGTACTTGATTTAATATTCCATGCTTCTAAAGGATATAAGGTTCAACCATGGAACGCATTCCTCCTTGATAATAAAAGTTATATTTGTGCCCATAAATAGTTTATCCTTGTCAGTGCAAGCCAGTCGGCAGCTTATGTGTCCGTTGGGAAATTAAAAGGTTAGACTTGTTATCATGAATAACCAATCTCACATTTTTTTAAAAAATTAAGAATTGACTTGCAGTATTTGTTTGGCTCTTGAAATAATTGAGAATTTGAAAATTAGATATATGATAACACATATCAAGAAACCGTTTGGCCGACAGAACCCTACAGATAGGTTCTCCAGGAATAAGAAACCATTAGGTAATAGGGTCAATGTTCCATATTCCTACTTCCATTTGGATGCATATATAAGTGAAAGCGATGGTATTCTGGAAAGGCATGACGATATGTGTACTATATTGTGAACAAATAATATTGGAAGTATGATGACGAATTTGGTACCGTAGCCAGAAGCAGAAAACATAAGATAGATCTTGAAAGTGAAAAGTGATAAATGATAGCTCATGCTATACATCTTCTACCGAAATAGTTATACTAAAATGGGCCGAATGGAAGGGTGATTAACATATAGGTGGAGAATAATGTAACCAAGGGTGTGAATAACTTGACAAAGGACTTGATGTCTGCTTTCATAGCAAAGTCTATTTGATCTCAGTATGATATAAGCATCAGAACACTTAAGTATCAGAATAAAAATTCAACCGTTGTGTCATCTATAAACGATCAAATATTCTGATTGTCGTTATTTATTGGATTGACATCATACACTTTTTATAATATTGCGGCGTCCTCTCAATAAGATTCAGTGTCTTAATAATGACGTAAAAAACGATGCGGATATACAATTTAGTGTCCAAGTTATGCTAAAGCTGAATAAATTCATCAATTTTATAGAATTTCTTATCCGAAAGCTAATATTTAACGTGGAAACTCGTCCACTGTTTGTTAGAAGATCATTTACATGTTTACCTACATTTTATATTAATGAAGCTTAAACGAGATTACTTACTGAACTATATGTTCTGGTTCAATTTATACAGTTCCTTGTGTTATCCAACAATGAGAAAAGCTGATGAGGCTTTAAGCAATTGAACTTTATCTTGATGCATTATGTCACCTTCAGTCCCTACTTAAAAACTACGACCATTTGACTCTATATGACACCAAACCGTGCACCTATGGTTTCCCCTCACTGGAGCGCCTTTTCCTGTGATTTATAATGTATGCAATTGTCAAAAGGTATAACTATGGAGATTCGTGCAAATCACGCAATTGGTAAGAGAGTTGGATATTCCACTATAAGCATATCAAATACATATATACTTTATAGATCTGAAACCTCATGCAAAGTTACAGAGATCTCTCAAATTTACCGACGTTTCTAGTTCTTTCAATGGTGAAACCCAAACTCTGAGAAAGTATTTAGGAATCATGTGTATATAACTCACAACATGGAGAGAATTGCTGTATAGGCGCCTTGCATATCAATCATACAAACCTTTTTTAGGTCTTGCATAAGATAGCACATGGTATGAATTCTAAACCTAACTTTTTCTTCTATTAAATACAAAAAAGATGAATAAATTATCATGCATCTAAATTTTGAGGAATTCAAAGCAACTTCTCGTAAGTTGTTTCGAATTTTTAAGTACATTCTTGTTGAATCTAAGAAATAGTGAATTGACAATATCAAAAACAAGTTGAGCACTCCACTTGGAAAAATGTCAAACATGATTAAGTTATATTTTACATGACAGAAAAAGCTTGTAATATATCTGATGTTAATCTGCAACATTAGATAAACAGGAATTCAACGTCTTAAATTGGTAGATCACGCTAGATGCAGAATTAAAATGGATTTCTGACCCAGTATTACTGTTAAATATGGCTAAGATTATATATTTTTGATCATATTTGCTAGTATCATGAATAAAGATGGGAGTTTTATCCGTATAGTCACAAAAAAGATTTCGCATCCATTATTGCTGTAAAGCGACCTAATACACTTGATCGGTCTGGAAGTAATTGAGCAAGGAGCTCTGGATCCGATTTCAACAATGCACACAAGCTGAAACGCCATCGCAATATGAGGTTAATGCACACCACCAAAGTGAATTCCCATTCTATAAAAGTCCCATACCTGACTGAAATGATGACAAACAGTGACTTATCTCTAATCGTGCTAACTATTATATATTGATGAGTGTGCGCTATCTTTTCTTATGACATTTAGTGGATAGTATAGACCCCGTGTGTCTACAATGAACGATGACTTAGGGGAAGAATGAAGCCACCATATCGCTTCTGTAAGTACTTACTATACCTTTTGGCTCGAGGGCAGAACAGGGGTATATCTCCTGTTTCAAACCAAAAATCTCTAGACTTAATCTGTGTGTTATTACAAACGAGTCCAGTGAGTAACTGCGGTTTATGATATATAGATGAGTTCCATCATATTAAAATGCATACAGATTTATCAAAAAACGAGGATATCATAGAGCTTACATTGTTTATGAATGTAATCCTTATATCATCAATAACATTTTCGATCCTTAAGTCAAAGTTAACGAATTTGTTGCTATGGTTTACACTCTAAAGTTGTAGAATATGTTAGCATATGTATCGCAATCGCTTCACTTGAGCGTATGACAGCATATTTGCTTACATCCTTAACCTGAGTAGACATATGTATACCGGATATTATACTGTTAAGTTAAATTATTTATTATTTCAGCCTTAATTTCACAGCATATTGATAAATTAAAAAAGAAGTCTAATAATCTTTTTTTTTAGATATGGAGAAAGGAATAACTTTATTTGTGCTTACATCAAATGTTTTAATTAATATGCCAAAATAATTACTGCTAGTCTTTCTTATTGACATCTATTTTTCTCTCCAAGAAAAGGGAAAGTTCCCCTTCAAAATCAGTACCTTTTTACTAGTTTTCATTTTCTTCTTATTCCTATAAGCGAAAATTTGAGTTGGAATCATTGAATAGTTTCATCAATATGAATGAAGGAAATTTATCACCCGAACACTTTTTCTCGTCAGTATATTCACCTTTTGAAGATGATGAAGAACATTTTAATACAACTTCACTCAATGATGATATAGATTACGGTTCGGACACCTCGATTCAAACACGAGCAGTGAGCCAACCAAGCACACACTTACGCATGAACAGTTCAAGAGCTCCATTGAATCGACAAATATTATCAGGGATAGGTTCTCAGTATGCTGACTATCATGCGCAAGTGTTTCCAGTGATTTACAAATTTTCAGATTTTATACTTGAGAGTTCAGAAAATACTCATAATGAGACGGTTGCCCCTCTTCAGAATGTGGAAAAGATTGGGCTGTATTGCCTCAAAGATCTAATAAATTTTAGCCCTGAAGATCTTCGACTTCGTGGTTTAAATATTCTTTCATTGCCAGAAAAAAATAATGGTATTGCGCCGTTTTCTATGCTACCGGAATGCCCAAACATATTGGAAACACGTTTTGCTAATCCAAATGATATTTCC